TCTCTTAAGCAGAGAGCTTTGCTCCTACTTTACAGAAAATAATTGGCAATTTTTACACAAAACTTTTGCTTTTGCACCACAGATTCTAAAATCTTGTGTTCATATCTTCTCTTTTCTTATAATAATGGAAAACATTTCCAGCTTCCCTCCAAGACTCATCTCACTATCATGATCAGGATCCCGTTCTTCCTGCCTTCTCAGAGAGATCATCTCTTTTCTTTTTGGCTCTCTGCTGGCTCATTAATTCCTATTATCATTTAAACATGTTCAAGTCTGCACCATTCTAAAAGAAAACAACGAGACAAATCTATCTAGCTTCATCTCGCTCTCTCTCCTCCTACTGTTACTTTCATCTTCCTTGTACAGTCTTTGTTAAATAAGTTGTCTCCATACACTGTCTTCCTTATTCATACTCACTGCATAATCTTCCTGAATCTGCCTTCTCCTTCCTATCCTTCCATTGAATCTCATTTTATTATGGCTTTATGCTTTACATATAGTTACCATTTTTTAGTTGTCACCTTGCTTACTGTTTTGCCACATTTGTTTGAGAATTTTTTAGATATAACTTCTTCCCTTGATTTTCATAACAGCACACACTCGTGCTGTATTCTTTATTTATGTCTAGTTGCTACTTCTGATTTTGGTTTATGTCATCATCTGCTTTAATGGCTTTCCATGATACCTAGCATACATTGTAAACTCTGTAGTCTGGCCCTAACCTCTCCAGCTTCATCCCTTGACATTCTCTTCCTTCCACTCTGCATTCTAGATAGTTAACTTATTTTTTGTTCCAGTTTCTAGAGTGCATTGTTCTTTCTCTTAACTTCCAAGACTTCCTGCATATTGTTTCTCCAGTCTGAAATGTTGTCCCTGCCCACTTTAGAACCCAAATCATCCTTTACTTGCTTGACATTGATTTACATGTACTTTCCTTCCTAAGTAGCTTAGTGACTCTAAATTAGATTAGATTTCCATATGTTGTCCTGTAGTATCCTGTCCTTTTAGTATAATACTCATTAAATTTTATTGCATTATATATATTAGATGCTTTATTTTCTGTAAGTTGTAGTGACCCGATTTTGTTTAGTTCACCATTATATCTTTATCAGTGGAAGAATAAAATTACATATTTTCTTTAATGAGTCTTGCTCATTTACATTCAAGAGACATCACCATTTCTTCATTAAGAATTTTTTTTTTCAATTATTAAGCCAGTGAATTTTCAAGTTCAGTCCAAATGTTTCTACAGGATACCTTGTTTAAAACAATAGTTTGCACAAAAACTGGAGAGTTCCAGGTGTGCTATAGGACTTTGGAGGGCAGGGACTTTTCCTCTTTCTTTAGCACTGCATAGATTTTTGAATGGAATAAATTGAACTTAAACGGGACAGAGAAATGTATTGATTCTAGAAATTACTTAACATTGCTGCTCTTTACATCTCAACTAAGAAGGTTCTAGTCTCTCACATTGACTAGCCTTATAACTATGACTCCTTGTTTTGGCCTCAGTTTCCTCATTCATAAAATTCTGATTCTGCAAGGTAGGTTAGTCAAACACTGAAAGCTATACTCCATCAAGTTACTTACTAATATTATATATTCTACCTTTCAAAAGTATTTGGTCTCTGAACTGTGATTTTATAAATACATATTTTTAAAGATACTCATCTCTGAATGCCACAAAATTATGTAAATGCTATTCTTTATGGAAATTAAAAAGTTTTCTTTGCATGTTTTAATTTCATAGTTTTATTACCCTGGTATTTTAAATTATTTTAGTTATTGTTTTCAGTTAGGGACCAGAAAATGTGAAAGACCTGATTAAAAAGGAAAAAAAAATTTACTGAATTTATCTCACCTTACATTAAAAAAACAAAATTGTTATTTAGTGTTTATTTAGTTTTGAAGAGAGACAGAATGTAAGCAGGGGAGGGGCAGAGAGAGAGAGAGAGGAAGACAGAATCCGAAGCAGGCTCCAAGCTCTGAGCTGTTGGTACAGAGTCCAACACAGGGCTCGAACCTACAAACTGTAAGATCATGACTTGAGTCAAAGTCAGATGCTTAACTGACTGAGCCACCCAGGTGCCCCTTACCCTACATTTAAAAAAAGCCTTAGTCATGGATTTGGAATATTTGTGATGGTTTTGCACAAATAATATTTTAAATACTCTTATTCCAAATTTACGGATTTCATACAAATGTTATATTTTCCTTACTACAGTGTAAAATCTCTTATTAAAATAAAATGTTGGGGCACCTGGGTAGTTCAGTTGGTTAAGTGTCTGACTCTTGATTTTGGTTCAGGTCATGATCTCATGGTCCATGAGTTCAATCCCCATGTCCGGCTTTGGGCATGAGCAGAGTCTGCTTGGTGTTCTCTTTCCTCCCTTTCTCTTTGCCCTTCCCCTGCTCACACACACACACACACACACACACACACACACACACACTCTCTCTCTCTCTCTCTCTCTCTCTCTCTCTCAAAAATAAATAAATAAATTAATTAATTAATTAAAAGATTAACTACATTTATGTACAAATCAAGTATTCTTCCTTTCATATTTATTTGTTTTCTAGATTGTAGGTAGCAAAGGTTGTTTTCACGTTAAGGTACAGAGTCTCCCTTGAATTGCTGGCAGACGTGGGTAAGGAGAACAGCACAGTGTATATCGGTTCTCACCAGCAGTGGTGATTTCTGCCAGCAGTTCTCATCCTTTCACCCATAAAATAAGCATAAAATTGACCTAACATTGCCAGATCGGATCTGGTATCTGGAAAGTAATCCTCAGGGAATAGAAAATTTCAGTCTTTGTGCATAAATTTAAGATAGGTTATGATAGTTTTTATCAGAGCCATTTTTTTTCTTCCTTTGCAGTACTCGTGAAAAGTTGTTACAGAGATGTGTCAGATATGGCATAAATCTAACAACACAGGCAGTATCTAAGTTAATCCATTTCAAAATATGGATTTATGTTACAATAAATTTTTGAGTGCTGATGTGTAAATTTCATTTAATGAAAAGACGATATTTTCAAATGAATAAACAAGTAGATGCTGTTTTCATGAATTCACTTGTTCATTCTCTCTGTGAAAGAACAGATTATACAGAAAGAAAGCAGTATAATGGGGGATGAGAAAAAGGGAGTTAGTAAAATATACTTGGGTAAATGCTGTGAACAGGGGCAAACCATTATCTGTACAAGATAAATGTTCTAGTTTTAAGACATAAATGTAAAAAATTTATCAAACACATTTTCATAAATGACAGCTATAAAATTGAGATTGTTCAAAGGGATATTGTAAATACTCACATTGAAACTCTTTAACTCTGTTAATTATAAGAAAGAACTATTTTACATTTCTGTATAATTGATTTGCTTATATGGCCATTAGTGTATTACATTTATCAAAGTAATAACTTTATATTTCATGAAGATTCCATCATATAACTTTCATTTTATGAGATTCAAATCTTAATAACTGCCATTTTGGTAAAACTAACTCACACGTGTATATTTTCCAATGTAACACTTACACCTAAGTATTTTCCAACATAATCTTCCATGTCTTGAGTATTTGTAGGTGTCCTATAATGCATGTCACATTCATTTTAGAAATGTATACACTTTGTTTTACATGAAGGGATGATCATTTAATTTACCTTTGTGAATTTATAATGCATTATTTTTATATAAGATGATTAAATCTTGATGATTTTAAATGATTTCTTATTTATATTGACTTATGTAGAAACCTTTTATTCTTTAGTAAGTAAAAGGTTAATTATAGAAAGTATGCTTTCTTTTTAATTTAAAACAATTGAAAAACATTCTTTTGAACTTAGTAAGTAATACAGCAAGAGGAGGTAGCTCATGCTAAAAATATTGCTAGGTAATTATTGAGTTTTAGAATTAAAATCTTGAAATTATATATTCTATAATATATAGAAATATAATATATAGAAATTCTATATAATATAGAAATTTGGACTATATTTTTATAAAAGCAACATGAAATAGTGGAAAAAATGGAATAGAACTGTAATTTTTTACTCTGAGAGCATAAAGTGATATCTTTGGTCTACTGAGTCTTTTTGCTTGGAGTGAAGTTCAAATCCTGTTGTGTCAGTGGTACATGTTATTTACATTATCTTGAGCTTTCAAAGGCTTTTTCAGAAGTAATATTATCCATTGTACACTGTCCTTGGAAAGCACATCTATAGGTATTCAGAAGTTTTTTTTTTTTTTGACAGAATTAAAAAGCACATGACCAAAATGTTTATTAGTGCTAATTAAAAGGGCTTATTTTTAATATACTAAGTAGAAAAGAAATATTGAGAGAAACAATGAAAATGAAAAGCCAGTGGGAATATTTATCAAATAACATTGGTTTTTATATATGAATAAGTATATAAAATATATTGGAAAAACTTCTCTAAAAGCCCTGCAGATATCAATTATATTTTAAGTAAGCTTGATACCTACCAATTTATATCTATTATTTTAAAAAAGGCTTTATAGAGTTGCAAATATGGAATCTTAAAAGTGAATTTTGATATAAAGCATGCATTAATAGGTGTTCTTAAATATTTAGGATTTTAAATGGAAATTTAAGGTGGGTCTAATTTCTAAGAACTATAATATATTTGATTACATATTTAACACATTTATATTTTTGTTTTCAAATTAAAGGTAATGTGTTCAGTGTAGTTAAATCTGAAAATTCATATTTCAGAATCTTTAAAGTATATAAATAAAAAAGTAAGTTATGGAAATGGTTTTTAATAATCTAAGTTACCAGTTTTATTTGTTACTGTTCCTAAAGGTCATTTAAAGATCAAAATACTTTATTTTTAACCTCATCAACTGTAATATGTAAAGAAAAATTAAAAAATCATTTTAAAAGTAGCTTTGACAATTTTAAGATAGTTTTATAAGAATGTTGGTGTAAATGTGTTCTCTGGCCTCTGTTTAACGATGTGTGTCAATTATTTACAGATCCGGTGGTATTGTGGAAATTCCCAGAGGACTTTGGCGACCAGGTTGGAACCACATAATTGTTTTAAACCGTTTAAAATTGTAGTACTATGATTATTACTACTGTTAATGCAACAACTACTCTAGCATATGAATTACTATAAGTATTTTCTCTTGACCAACTGTAAGAAAAAGAAGCCATGTGTTCAGAATGTATATGGAAAATCTTCTTTTTTTTTTTTTTATGAAATTTATTGTCAAATTGGTTTGGAAAATCTTTTAAAGTTACCAAGTAGATGGGTGATGAAGAAGCCCTTGTATTAAAACTAATAGGAACTGAATGTTTATAATTTCAACATATTTTTACACTCTTTTGATTTCTCTATGGAATATATTTGGAAACATTTAAAATTTTTTTCCGTTAAAAAAACCTGACAATACCATACTTTGTTGAATACCCTTCTATTATTTCTGTCTACTTGAAGTAAGTAGTAACAGGTATAAATCCGTTATTTAGTTCTCTGCTTGTTACAGTAATCTCTGAATCATTTACGTATATAAGTTAAATTCTTATTTTTTACTTTTACATAATTCTTTCTTAATAAAAATGACTCTTAAAAGAAAATGAGAGAATTCAGAATGAATTTAATTCATTTGTACTTAAAAATTTTTTTTAATGTTTATTTTTGGGAGAGAGAGAGAGAGAGA